ATATGCCACACGAGCCTAATTGTTTAATTCAAAGTTTTAAAAGGCGCTAGGCGGCAGGTTGGGGCCTAGCGTCTTGACCGCCTAATCAATCTGGGCGTGACTAACTTCGCAACCTTCTATATGGGATAAACACTTAACCTAGATAGAGTCTAATTTCCCGAACGCTTAGAATAAGAAATGGGACGCCCTCGAGTTTTGTAGGACTTTATTTTTGCATATTGTGTAACAATATAGTCTAAATTTTAAACTTTCTTAATTGAAGATTTCAATTTTAAGTTTTTCTCAATTAAAGACATATTTTCACATTCTAATTCTCAATTTTAGACCGCAACTAACTTCGTATTTTGACATAATTATGTAAAACAAAATACTATTATCTTAAAATTATTATTTTAAACGCTTATAATAAAAAGTATTATATCTTTAGTAAAATTACCTTATAAGAGAATTAATTTATATAATTTACATTATGAAAAAACTTTAAGAATGTATGATTAATATTATTATAAATGATAGTCTAAATCTGTAATAGCATTAGAAAATAACCATTACAAAAATAATTTTACTTAATTTTTATTAATAAAAGTTTAAAATATTAGTCGTGAATAAAATTTATATTTTGAAAAAAAATTAAGAATATATAAAACCAATACATATAATAAAATATATTAAATATCTTTAGTAAAATCACCTTATAGAGAATTTAATTTATATAATTTACATTATGCAAAAACTTGAAGAATGTATGATTTAAATATTATTATAAATTATAGTTTAAATTTGTAATAACATTAGAAAATAACAATTATAAAAATATTATTATTTAATTTTTATTAATAAAAGTTGTTGATATCAAAAACCGTATTGCCCAAAGAAACGACGTCACGTGGAATATAGATAGTTAATAGAAGGAGCGGTTGAAGCACGATGACCGACTTGGTGAGTAGTTGAACTGACTTTGATAAGGGGACCGACGCCAATAGCAGCGAGGAACCCCTAGGAGCCGACGTCGTCGACGAATCTCCTCAAAAGACGAGCCAAAAGTTACTATAAATAGCATAATTAAATTAGATACGAGGAGCTCCGCCCGACACATTAAATATCACATTTATCACCTTGGTTTATACCAACAAAACCGACCTTCTGTACTAAATACCGACTTGCGATACCTTCGAACTATATCATAATCAATCAAGAAAATCGTGATTTGAGACTCTTTACTCGCTTTAATCTATACTTCATTAGTTGGTAAAATCCTTTTATCAACAAAAGTTTAAAAATATTATTCGTGAATAAAATTTGTATTTTGAAAATAAAAATAAGAATACATAAAACCAATACATACAATAAAAATATTAAATATCTTAGTAAAGTTTGCTTAGTAAGAAAAAAAATTCATTTGAGTTAGATTTATGCAAAAATTTAACAAAATTAATTTTAGAAGTTCAAAATATTGAAATTTGAATTTTAAAATATAACAATTTAAATATTATATTGATCGATATCTAAATATTCAATAGAATTATAAGATAAAGTACTTAAAAAATTACTTTAGTTTTTTTTCTCTAAGCTTCACGGTAGACTTTTTTGTATTTTATTTTATCTAAATTTCATAGTTCCAAACATCATCAATTGTCTGTGTTTAGAAAAAACTCTAAATAATTTATTCTAATTATATATCTTAAAAAAAAAGTAATACTATAAATAATAAATTATTCATAAATATTCTCAAAATAATAATTTTATATACAAATAATATTAATTAAAAATACAATATTTTTTTAGATAGTTTATTTCCTAATTTTACTACTTTTATATTATTAATTAATATTCATTCTTAAATTTAGTTTTCAATATTTTTTTTTAATTTGAAGTAAATTTAATTAAAATTTTTCATAAATGTGGCTTAAGTGAATTTACTTTTTTATTAAAGTAATTTTACTAAATAAATTTATAATTGTTTATCATAAGAGCACCAATCATGCATTGAATCTAATTTTACATATGTGACATGTAGATGGACTTAAGTCATAAATGACATGGACATATCCAAGTAGAAAAACCCCAAATGCTATCGAGTGCAAAAATAAGATATTAGGTCTATAAAGTCCATCAATCAATAAAAATATGTCTAATATGTTTTCTCTATTAAAAGAAAAATCCAATTAGCTATAAATGTTTACTGTTGAGGTTTGTACTTGAGTCCAAAATATACTAAAGAGTGGACTTGTTCTCATTTTCTGATTGTCAAATAAGTTAGACCATGTCTACTTTTAATTGCATTGGAAATTATTTTTTTACAAACCAAATCTATTTTTCTACATAACATATGACTTTTTTAAGAGACTCAAAGTTTTGTGGATGCTCTAATCATCTAAAACATAAGTTTCAAAATAATAATAATTTAATTTCCATAATTATGTAAAAATATAGTTGGACTTAAATTGAAACCTATACAGTAAAAGTAGCCTTCAATTGAAAATAACTTAAAATGTTGGAGTAAATTTTCCTAAATAATTGAATAAAAAATATAAATCTATACTTATATTAAAGGCCATACCATTTACTTAAATTAGTATGTAGAAAAGTCAAAGCAATTAATGCTTATCTATTTTTATCATTTGAATATTATATTTTATATTTATTTATTTCAAATCTAATAATTACTTAATGCTTTTAAATGCAGTTGAAACTTTTTTGGTGTTTGATTTTTAAATCCGTGCATTTGGGAATCTTTCAAACTATTTTCATAAAAAAATAGAAATCAGATTTCATTGTTGTTAAAAAAAATCTCAAAAAAATATAAATCTAATTTCTTAATTAGTTAATTTTTAAACGGTTTAGTTATTTTCGAATTAAACGGTTTAATTATTTAAATTTAAATGTTAAACACAAATAATTCTATTTATTTTTTATATATATTTTCGTATATATATAATATATTTTTATCATATTTTCGTGTATATATATATTACAATTTTTATCATATTTTCAAATTAAATGGATTAATTATATATTTTTTTTTTGTTATTTTCGTGTATATATATATATAATAGTTTTATCATATTTTCGTACATATATAAATTATAATTTTTATCATATTTTCGAATTAAAGGGTTTAATTATATATATATTTTTGTTATTTTTGTATATATATATATATACATTTATATTATTATATCATATTTTTGAATTAAAGGGTTTAAATATTAATTATTAAATTAAATTTAAATATTAAACACAAATAATTTAATTTACCTTTTCAATCCGTGAAGTATTTTTTTTAACACATTCTATTTATTATTTTTATATATTTTCGTGTATATATATTTATCTCATATGTCTATATATATATATATATTATATACATTTTTGTTATTTTCGTATATATATATTTGTTATTTTCGTATATATGTATATATATATATATTTATATATATAATCGATTAAAAGAAACTTAACATGAAATTGTTATATATGTTTGTAGAAAAGGTACAGGTGACTACTTCATTAAATATTACCAAGCTGATCGCCCATGACTCTGTTGATGAGATCCGTGAGTTTTGGAGAAGGTAAAATTATATATTTTGGGAGATATTATATGTTGTTGTTTCGCGTATAACTACTAGAAGGGAGTTGAAGATATTAGTTTGTGAGAATGAAAAGTTGCTCAATAATCAAACTCATAATGTTGTGTACAAAGAGGTCTTTAATAATATATTATTGTTTTTTTGTGGAATAATATTTTTATTGTACAATTTTCCTCCGTATTGTAAAACTTTTATATTGCATATTGCATCTTATAATATAATAATCCCAAAATTAATATATCCCGTTTCGCACAGGTTACGTACTATATATATCCCGTAATTTTTTTGTTCTTTATTTATATACTTATAAGGCTGGATAAGTGTCCAAAAAACTGTACATCCCGTGCATCGCACGGGCTCTGTACTAGTAATAATAAATAGTCGAAAAATTGTCACTGCAACATCACTCAGGGACAAACCAGTAATTTCCACGCTGGCCTTCACGAAACTGTAAAAGGGCATAATTGGCTGTCATTATTTACCAGCCTGCAGGAGCGACAGGTAATTATTTTCCTCTGCTGCGCATCAACGGCCGCGATTGGGTCCAACCAAACAAATCTGAGCCGTTGATGTTCAATCAGGAGAAACTAAACATCATGTGGGACAAATTACCCTATTTGCCCTTCCTTTGTCAATATTTTTTGGTTATTTTTTCACTCGTGTTGAGCTTCTTCTCCAGTTTCTTGAACAAAGATAAAAACAAAGCTTTCTCTCTCTAGCTATGGAGGGTCCTTGAAAAAAAAAAATTCTCTCTCCTTTGCGTTTGCCTCCTTTTTCCTGCAGTTTATTCTCTAGATTCCTGCAACTCGTCTTCTTCAAAAGCTCTTCTTTTGCTACTGCCGTTGACAATTGAAACCCTCAGGTTTGTTTGTTTCTGTGGACTGTAATTTTCATCTGTGTTGATTTACTGTCTCAAATTCTGTATCTTGCGGGTTTAATTTTACTGTGAAAATGTAGAAAGTGTATGGTGATATGGGCTTTTTTTATTTATTTTTTATTATTATTATTTTTTTGTTTCTGTTGAAGAGAGGTCATACTTCTTCTTCTTTGAAGAGAGCATCTGTTTGTTCTTTACTTTAAAGTTAGAGGTGATAGTTTTGCTCAGATCTATCAGGATTGTCAGTTATGTTAATCTTTTCTGTGATTTATAAGAGCTTAACATCAGCATAGTATGGATGTATTAGTTAATAGTCGTTCTTGATGATCCAGAAACATTGTAGGGTCGTTGAATTAAGCATGTGTTAATATTTCCTTTATTTGTAGACCAAATTCAGTTGTCATATATCAAGTTTATCAAGTTGTTGTAATCAAGACTTGAATAGTACTGTAGATCTCTTAACAAGTTCCATACTGATCTCGAATTTTTGTTTATGGTTAGATCCTTCACGGCCTTATTCAATATCAACCTTGATGACTCCACCGTTATCCGGAATCGAGGGGCAAAACCAGTTTAATGCGCCTCTAATGGCTTCGTCATCGTCTGCCGACTGCATTACCCAAAATACCATCGGCCTCAAAGAGCGCAACTACCTGGGACTGTCCGACTGCTCGTCTGTCGACAGCTCGACTGTCTCGTGCTCGCCCGTCGAAGGCAAGGCCAATCTGAACCTTAAGGCCACGGAACTGAGGCTCGGCCTTCCTGGTTCTCAGTCCCCCAAACGAGACTCGGATTTTTCCCCTCTAAGCTCAGTGCACAAACTCGATGAGAAGCAGTTGTTCCCCTTGGCCCCGAACCCGAAGACAGTCGTTGTGTCTGGAAATAAGAGGGGATTTTCTGATACTGTAAATGGGTTCCCGGACAAGAGTGCCATGTTTTCCGAGCCCAACTGGATGTTCAATGCTGACTCAGGACTACCTAAGACAACCGTACAGAAAGAAGCACCAGAGAAGGATGCACAAGAATTCAGCAACAAGATGAATGCTTCTAACACCAATAATGCACCCGCTGCTAAGTAATTTTTGTAAAAGTTATTATATGTCTGGATATTTTTTTCTGGGTACACAATTTATTGCCCTTACTGCTTGCGGCCTTTTTTTTTGTCGTTTTTGCAGGGCGCAGGTTGTGGGGTGGCCTCCAATTAGATCTTTCCGAAAGAACACTCTTGCAACAACCTCAAAAATCAATGACGAGGTTGACGGGAAACCTGGGCCGGGTGCGCTTTATGTGAAGGTGAGTATGGATGGTGCACCATATCTGAGGAAGGTTGACTTGAGATCGTATGCCACATACCAGGAGCTCTCGTCGGCTCTCGAGAAAATGTTCAGCTGTTTCACCATAGGTAATAGTTAATCTGATCCTGGGTGGTGTGTGTGGGTTTTATCTTTTGGGACTTTTGTGATGGCGTGCACTGTGTTTCTTGTTTTGGATTTGTAGGGCAATGCGGGGCCCAGGGGGCTCCGAACAGGGAGACGATGAGTGAGAGCAGGCTGAGGGATCTGCTCCATGGGTCGGAGTATGTGCTTGCGTATGAGGATAAGGATGGAGACTGGATGCTCGTTGGAGATGTTCCTTGGGAGTAAGTTTCTTTTATATTTTTTTGTTTGTTTTTGTTCTTTTTGACTTGTTAGTTGATTATGTGGTTCTTTGTTTTTTGGGAATATGCATAAGTGGACTGTATATGGAATGTTATGTGTTGAGTCTATGATCTAAACTGAAGTAGTATAAGATGTATAGTTTCAAATATTTCCCATACTTCAAATTGCTTTTTTTGACAGATTACTCGAGTGCTATAGTGCTGTTGTTGAAACTAAGAGTGTGCATGATTACATTTAAAGTTAGCCTAGTCAAGGTCTGCTTTCAAGTAAAGTCTATGTGACTTTGACATGAGTGGCGGTGTGAAAAGAATGACATAATAAGAAGAGGAACAAATTAAATGCACTACTCTGTTAGTGTTTGAATTATATTCATATTATCCAATCCCAATTGTAGGGTAAACGTGAATTGCAGACAGTAAAGATTTCTGTATTGGTGCATATTTATGTCGTGGTTGTATCTAGAGATGTTAAACGGGCTACCTCTAGTTAATTAGCTTCTACTAGATGTTGTGGCTGAAAAAACTCAGATTTAAGCCGTTTATTATATTTTGAACTTAACTCTAAACTTCTAAAAAAAAAAAAATTCTTAATTGTGAAGTTCTGAATTTGAACATATGCAATATTTAAATATAAATAGGTATACATAGTTTTAGTTTGATATAAAACTTAGAAGTTTACATACCAATATTGAAATAATATGTGATGCTCGTTTTCTGGCAAACATAATGAATGTTACCTTTGTGGCTATTTAAAATAATAGTAGCAAGATGTTAAGATTTAATATGACCATAAAGTTTTAAATAATGAAGTATTATGTAATGAGTAAAAACGAGAAATTGGTTTTTATTATGAGATATAACTTTATCTGTTAAATTTAAATTTATAATAAGACCATATGGTGTAGCCCCTACAGGTAAACTTGTTTTGAGAGGATCTTGACCTAAATGACAAAATTTGGCTATTATAAGTCAGATGGTCCAAATATACTTGCTAACTAATAATATTGTAATTGTATTTTTCGTCAGACAAATAGTTTTAGTATGTATAATAATTCTATTTTCGTATGTCCCTCCGAAATTTCGCTTGCAAATTGTGAGTCCTTAATTTTTGCCAATTCGTTAGTAAAATAAAATGTTAGAATATCTATATTTAAATATAATTAGGCAACAATGAGATACATGTCTCGCTCTTTTCTTTTCAACCAGTTATGGCAGATTGGCTTTTCCTTTTCGTTTTGGTATCTTTTTCGCGACAATATCAATAATGACGGATTTAAGCATAATTCGTGCATTGTTCTACGCGTTTGGTCGGTTGTAAAGGTTTTTAAATTGCACTGTATTAATTCTGCTGGTCTGATTTATTTTAAGTAACTGTATTTACTATTCTTTTCGTTTAAAAAAAAATATAATTGCATATAAAGTTGTATAAGTAATCTTTATTCATATTATTTTTTCATACAAGTAGTGATAGTAATTATATATATATTTCAAATTTTTATAATGTAATAGTTATTATTAGATAATTCTTTCATTCCCTATATTATTATTCATGTATAAAACTTATTTTTTTTCGCACGCTTGCATTTACACAGGATTGAGTAATAGTTGCATTAAAAGATTATGAACGGTTTTTCATTATTACCTGTTAATCTGATTACATTTTGAAATTTAACTTTTGTAGAAGAATAATCATGCTGTAGGTTTCTTGTAAGACTTCAGTTTTAAGCCACTCTGAGCTAGTGTATTGTTTTGTTTGTCTTTGGCATTATCCCATACAAAACTAAGACTGGTCGAACCCTAAAACCCCCCTTACTGATGCATTCTTTTTAATAGAAAATTTAATTATAAAGTCCAACTTAGATGTGAGGGTGGCCATGAGGTCTTTGCTCGAACTGAGTTTTCAGACTGGAATTCATTGTCTTCTGAATTCGCTGTTCCATCTGCAGTTAAACTGTTAATTTCATTATACGTTGGAAGAGCATGAGCATTTAAACACACAATTCATTAAACTGATGACTCGAATGTTCGTGTCCAAAATTTAGTTTGTTGACACTACATTACTGATGAGCATTGTTGTTTCAGGATGTTTATTTCTTCATGCAAGAGGCTCAAAATTATGAAAGGATCCGATGCTATTGGACTAGGTCAGTACCTTGGTACCCTTGTGTTTAGTTAAACCGAAACTGTTGAGTGTTTTACTGCATATTTCATTAGCATGTAAGAGTAAAATATGCAAGAAAGTATTGGCATTTGGGGGTTTCATATTTTCCTTGTCCACATAAAGTTTTTGTCTGTCTTACAATGTGGAGTCCTATATTTTATGTATTATTCAGACACATATCCTTAGTTTTAGTTTGAAAATTGGAAATTATGAAAGCCCCTTAAGTGCTGAAGATCTCATTGCTGTTCATGTTTACGATAACCAATGCTCACCTCTTGATAATCCAATTTTTTGAAGGCAAACATAATTGTACTGAAACTTATTATGATCATACGTAAATCTGTTTTACAGCTCCTAGGGCCGTGGAGAAATCCAAGAACTGCAACTAGCCAAAGCCTAAGAAGGTGACTGGAGCTTTTCCTTTTAAGAAAATATGTCACAATGGCTTGTAATAGAGCCGCATATCGTGCTTTTAGATGTCTTTCTTGTTTTTTCCAATGCGATCCTCGTGTGTAACCTGCCTGCGGTTTTTACTCGTATGTGTTTATCCTAATCTCGATTATTAGCTGGCTTGACAGTTACAGTAAAATGTTTGTCAAGTTCATATTTTTCTCTGTTTGGACCATGAACGACTCTGTAATTTGTATTGTTTGATGAATGCGTGATGTTATTATTACACTTCAGGTTTGTTTTGAACCACTGTTGGAAACATTTTATTTGTTATGATTATGAATACTGTCTTAATTGCTGGTGTGTTTTTTTGGCACTATAAAGTTCTTCCAAGGAAAAAAAAAAGACAGAAAACACTGTTTTCTTCGACATGACTAAATTTGGTGTGATATCTTATTAGTCCAAATGGCATGATTCAGTTTGAATTACTGCGCAACTCATTCGGTATATACCTTGAAAGCTAATTAGAAAACAAGATCAATTCCATCCTGACTTTAAACCATCATTAGTAAGGGTAGGTGTGTGTAATTGATGGGGGTAGTTTATACCGGATCGGCCGATCCAGTTTTAGCCCAAACCATGATCAAACTGGACTTAATAGTTAATTTTTTTTTCTTGTCCATAACCGGACTGGTTTTATTTTTTAATCGGCCACAATCCGGACCGCATTAGACGGTTCGGTTTCCAAACCGGTTAAATTCAAAATACTTGTTTTGGGCCTTCAGTTTTTTATTTTTTTTTTTAAATTTTGGGCTTAATTTTTATTTTCCAATTTTGGGCACAAAAGAGATTATTTGGGCCTAAAAATTAAGAAAAACATCAATAATGAAATAAAAAATCCACAAAAGGTGGGAAAAAATGAAAAGTTATAGTGTCTTACAAAATTAAGTCAACAAAAGGCCAAAAAGTGAAAGTGAATGTATTGTATTTGTCGGCCATAGTGAATGACTGAATGTGTATATATATATATTTGTTATATTTTTTAATATTTATTAGTCGGGTTAGGTTAAACTGGCATTTTGTCGCAGGAAATCTGTTATCCGGACCGGTTATTCCGGATATTTAAAAAAATTAACCAGGATTTTTTTAAGATTTTTTTAACCGACCATTTAATCGATTCGCGGTCCGAATTGATAGTTTTTTTCGGTTAAAACCGGACCGTGAACACCCCTAATATATACCTTACTCTTTTTCAAGGGAAATTTTACACCTGCTACAAGATTTAAAAGTATTTTCAATTCTACCTTCATATAAGAAGTAATAGCAGATAAGATATACCTAATCAAGATATTTAATTAATGAGATTGCCTAAACATCAGTTACAAAGGTAACGTTCTCCATCCCACTGATTGTGAAGTGATTTCTGCCATGAACAACCAGGAAAATAATAAAAAAAAAATCGGAAACTTCATTTTAATAAGGCTGCGTGGTCGCCACTTCAAGGGCGACAGAAAATCGAGGTATATTTATGTAATTATTAAGACCACAAATTTTTGAGTTTTTTCTTTCTTTTTTTTTTTTCTGAACGTTGATTGATCACCAAAAATTCACCGAAAAATGTACTACAGAAATAGATCGTCAATAAGGCTACTGATTGCGACTTCACCGACGATAGAAATTGAGTTATATTTATGTTATTTTATCGTTAATTTAAAACCACATATTTTTTTGAGATTTTTTTTAACGTTTATCCACCAACAATAATTTGTGTTTTTTTTTTGGGAATTATTACTTGACATACACCAAAAACATACTTCAAATATACTAAAATGTGTAACATGTGCAGAAAACCAGTGACAAAGTGTATAACATAGAAAGAGAAAAGATACCTCGGATATACCCAACATATAACCAGATAAAAGTTACCTCGGATATACCCAACATATAACTCAACATATTACAGAAAGTGTAAAAGTTACCTCGGATATACCCAACATATAACCAGATATATGAACTCACCAACTTGCGATACTTGAGCGCGTAGAACATCTCGATATACCGTCTTATCTCCAGACGATCGACCTTCGAAACACTCACATGTACTTGGTACCGGTCGGTTTCAGATCGACGATTTGCACAACGATCTCCGACAAATTTGAAGAAGAATTCGGACATGGGTTGGCCAGAATAATCGCCTCTGATTCCTCCCTCCTCAACTCCGTCGCGCGCCTCCACGACCTCATCTCTGATTGCTATCCGATGGGCTGCGACCATCGCAAGCCAACCGCCGACCACCCCGTTGCTGGAAGCCCTACGCGGGTGCGGGAAGAAGAAATTGAAATTTGAGATTTGATTGTTGTGAGATTTTTGGGGTTCTTCTAATTGTAGAAGAAAGAAATTTGGGGATTGGTAAATGAGAAAGAGAAGTGACGAGGAAGAAGAAAAACGAAGAGGGGAAAAAGGAAAGGAAAGGAAAAGAAAAGAGAAAGGAAAAGAAAAAGGGTTTTGACCTTGGCGTGTGTATTTTGAATTTTAGGTATAATTAAAAATATTTGTAACTTTTTAGGTAATTTTAGAAATAAGTATATAAGGTGTAGGAATGTGTAATATAATTTAAATGTGTTTATATGGGGTGCAATTTCCTCTTACATTTTCATGTAAAGCCCAATCGGCCCAATAGTTCAACAAAAGCATTGAAAAAGGAGAAAATTGCACCTCATACAAACACATTTAAATTATATTACACTTTCCTAAATCCTTATATTCTTATTTTTAAAATTACACTTACTTTTTTGTGGAAGACTTTTTTTTATTGCACATATACTGAATATGTACTACCATAAACTCAAAATATACCACCTGGGGCCTGCGCGAATTATAATATTGCAACATACACTGAATATATACTAACATAAACTCAAAATATACTACCTGGCGGCTGTTTGAACTACAATGTACAAGTTGCGTGAATTAAGGAAGTAATAAATGAATCAGTTATTTTTTTTTCTAATCGCGGATTTCACGCACGTTACAAGATAACTGATTTAGATGCAATCTCTTAAATAAAATAGTTGGTTTAGGTATTGTTGAAATATTTTTACATTAAGGTAAAATTGAAAATACTTTTATATCTTATAGGAGAGACAAAAATTTCCCAAAATGTAATGTGATCACATATAATTGTCTTGTTTAATTAAGCCGGACATGTATAGGTAATGGCTTTGTTTGGTAAATGGCTTTTTGGCCAGCTTTTAGCTTTTTGAGCAATTTTGGAGGTTTGACCAAACTAAAACCGCTAAAATTTGTGTTTGGTTAGATAGCTTTTAAAGTTGGCGGATTGAAGGAAAAAGTTAAAATTGAAAACGCTCCCATTTGGAGCGTTTTGGAAGATGTTTGACTTTTTTTTTTTTGGTTGAATGGGCCTAATTAAGGGTTTCCTTTATGTAGTGAGGTAATTATTTAAAAGAATTATATAAATAAAAAACAAATGCAATGACGTGAATGAAAAAAAAATAACTAAATTTTTAGTAGTTGTACAAATAATTACATGTAAAAATAAAAATGTTTGATTGACTAGTTTGCCATTTCAGAAATTATGTACAGTTATTTATAAATTTTCTTTCTTATTTACTAAGTATTACAAAAATAAATTTATCCTAGATAAACAAAATATTAATTATACTAATACACTGCTAAGTAACTACATACACAAACAATTAAAAATAACTAATTTTATCAAACATTAATTTACTAATCGTTTACATAATCAGCTGGTCAAAATCGCTTAACTCAATACGCTGGTCAAAGCAGCTAATGCAATCTGCTAACAGTTAACAACTAACCGCTGAAGACAAATGTGATCAAAGCTAGAAATAAAACATTAACAGGTGCTGAGTGACTTCTTTCGTCATGTATAATATATATAAAATGGTTTTTTTTGATGATTTTTCTATTTTCAATATATAAAATCCTCTTCGCCTTATCTTTTTTTATACGTGCCTAATGAAAGTTAATTTTTTTTGGTCCTTTGTATTTCGTTTTCATGTGTCCTATTATGTTAATTTTTTTGTGTCCTATTATGTCTTTCATCTTTCACTTATTATACTTAAAATACAATTGTATCTATTCTGTTAATTTTGTAATTTAAATATAGATTACAATTTAAAACATAAAAAAAGTGATCAACATTATTCAACATGTCGGTTTTATCTATTATTGAACTCTTATTTAGAGAAATGTTATTATACACTATAAAATTAATGATTAATATATGAAAATTATATATTATATATATTAAATAAACAAATAAATTATGTATTAGTTAAATCGGTTCAATCACTGGTCCGACCAGTGAACCGTTTAACTGGTATTTTCACCGCTTCGATGACCGGTTCGATTTTCAAAACATTGATTATTACAATTATTATTATTTTAGTATTTAAATATTTAGTGGCTTAGTGGACAAGATAACTTTTAGGGTTTTGTGTATTTTATTTAAAGACTAATATTCTTTGTTATTCGATAGTTGATTATGAATTATTGAATGAAAATATAATTTGATATCGTGATATGTTATTGAGATTGCTATATCATTAATGTCGTCCCACTCGTACGCTTCCCTACATCGGTTGGTATCAGAGGTCAACACGATTCAAGATGTCGCCATGGAATGACGACATCGACGGGCGTGACACCACCATTGAGTATCCGGGTCGACAAGCCACGAGCTTCGGCCGCCGGATCAATCAATTAGATCGGCGGGTTGAGGATCTTTCAACGGGGATCAAAGAAGTGCGTCTTACGATCAACACCATGGTTGAGGATTTGCAGACGAACCGTGACGCCGACAACAAGGGCGTGCGCTGGGGAGTTCGTGGAGGCCGCGGTGCAGGCGGGGCACCCCGCCAGAGATCTCCACAACCACCGTTTGGTGACGGAGACGGCGAAGAGATAATCTCAGAGGTGAATCCCTTCGGCGATTATCTAATCCCGCACATCG